TAGGAGCCCGAGCTGCGTAGCAAGACCCTGTACCAAATAAATGAATGAATGAATGAACGAATGAATGAATGTTGAGAAACGCTGCCTGGGGAAATCAGTCTACTCTCCTGGGACAACTGAGGCTGGAGCTGTGCTTTCACCGCAGCCTCCATTCCTGACCCTGCAGCCTGCGTTTCCTTTCCGCCCTACTCTCCCTGATCAGGTCTATCTGCCTTGCCCGGGCTACACTTCCCTCGCCGTCCAGCCTGGCTCCTGCTGTCGCCATCCCTGCCACCAGTCCTTCCTCTTCCTTCAGGTCTCGGCCTCCTTGCGTATGAACGCATGTCTATAGCTCGGATCCTAGGAACAGCTCCACAGTTGGACTTCTGGGCCCGGAGGAGTTCTACCTTAATTCTCTCCTTTTCATTGTCAAGCTCTTTATGAGAAACTGAAAAATGCTACTTCCAATATTTTAATAGTTTTATACTGAATAGATATAAAAATAGTATTATAAAGTATGTAGGCTATAAAAATTATATGACAAAAACTCTCACCCATGTACCCACCACCCTATTTAAGAGCTCAGCTGCCTGGGAGGCTCACAAGTTTGAGACGGGGGTGACTCAGCGTTATGGTTTGTGTCTCGATGTCCCCCTAAACCCTCATGCAGCCATGCGGCGGGCTTCTAGAGTGTGTGACTGACCCACGCTGGGCTCTGGGTGTGAGGGTACACCCGCCCTGGGCGGGGCCTGCATGCAACAGAAGGGAGGGCACGAGGCTTGCTCTCTGCTGATCCGCCCCTTTTGCTCTGGCTATTTTCCAAGGCAGTGAATGGCTGCCCTCTGCCATGTGCCACCCTGCCTTGCAGCCAGCTGAGTATGAACAGAAACCTCACAAACTTTTCCTTTCTTTTCTTTCCTTTCTCAATTTTGGGCATCAGGTATTTTGTCTCAGCAATCAGAGAAAAGATCTATGACACTCAAGAGACCTGTCTCAAAAAAAAAAAAAAAAAAAAAAAAGAGCCGGGGATGCAGCTCAGTGCGAGGCCCTGGGTTCCATCCCCCAAGCAAAGCAAAAGCAGCATGGCCTTTACATCGTGCCTCCGTGCCCTTCCCAGCCCCCTCGCCTCCTGGTCACAGCAAATGTCCTCAGCTGTGTTGAACTCTCTTGCTCTTAGGTTACCGCCACATTCTACGCATAGTCTTATACACTGTATCACCTAGTTTGACATGCGTTTGAGGTTTGTGCAACTGACATATCATATATTAAGTACTGGGAATCATCCCTGCACTCACGTAAAATGTCCCTCATTCCCCTTAACTGTGAATGTTCTCTGCTCAAATTATGCTTTCAGTGACTTAACCTGCTACTCAACTGAACGGAAGCCTCCAGCGACTTCCTAATGGCTGAATAAACGATCCCACTTGAGTCATCCGCCTTGCCACCCTAATAGCGCTTTCTTCTCACAATTGCTCTCCAGCTCGAGTCTTTCTTCTTCCTACGAAGCACCATCCTTTTAGTATCCGAAGCGCTCTATCCAAACATCCCCTCCTGTCCAAAAAGCACAGGAAGCAGACCCAATGGGAAGAAATGCGGACAAACCAGAATTAACCCAATCTCTCTAGCTACACAGGAGAAATTAAAGGAAGTAGTAAGTGCTGGCATCATGACAATTTCTATACAAATACAAGGAACCATTTTCAATTTCTGCTTCTTTAAATGCACCTCGTCGGTTCCTGCTAAGATACATATAATTTCTGTTTATGTTCTAAATTGTGTTATTTAACAAGATAATTTCCTCCAATTCAGTGACATACAGCTCGCAGCAAGACTAAATATATGCCCTAGCTCATGCATTTATTCATTCAGCAATTACCACACCTTAATGTGGTAGGCATTACTCAGAGTCACGCCAAAGGGAAACCGTCATTCAAAATGCACATTGTGATAAAACTGCTCAGACATACGACAAGCACAGAAGAGGCAGCTGCCTGCCACGCAGCGACTCTGTAGCAGCAGGGGCATTTGCACAGGGTCTGGGGCGAGGACCCGCGCTTGGTGCAAGGGAAGGACAAGGAGAGCGGTGAGGTCCAACACACACTATGGAAACGGGTGTGCTTGACAGGAGTGCCCAAGCGGCAGCAGGAAGGGGCTCTGAGTGGAGAGCGTGGGCTGGGGGCCGGGCAGCGGGGCCCAGAGTGTGGTGACGGAGGTCTGTACCTTATTCTCTAGGAAGCCAAAAGCTAACTGTCATCTTCATTTTAAATCTGTCTATGATACTGGGGATTGAACTCAGAGCCTTGCACACACTAGGCAAATGGTCTACCACTGAACTACATCCTCAGCTCTTTTCTATTTTAAAGCAAAGTCTTTCTAAATTGCCTAGGATGGCCTAGAACTGGAAATTCTTCTGCCTCAGCCTCTCCAGCAGCTGGGATTCCAGGCATGTGCCGCCATACCTGGTGCTGACTATTTTTAAGGAGGGGATGTGTTAGTTTTGTTAGGAAGATAACTCCTGACAGCAAATGAGTGTGACAGGTTAAAGTGGATGGCAGGAGGGGCAGGAAGGTCATTCAGGGAGAGCTACCCAGGAACAACAATGAATGAAAGCAGGGGAGAGACAGCCTTTGGGACGACTTCGGGCATTTCCTCGGGGCCTGTAAATGCGCGGCAGTGGCCCAGGTCTATAACCTTAGTGACCTGGGAGACGAAAGCAGGAGGATCACAACTTTGAGGCCGGTCTGGACAACTTAGCAGGGCACCTTCTTAAAATAAGAAGGGCTGAGGATGTAGCTCAGGGACAGAGCGCCCTCAGGGAATCCCAGAGCTGACAGAAGGAGAGTATAAAGGAGAGGAAGCGTGTGACTCTAGAGTGCCTTCCTTGGGTGCTACATGGATAATAAAATCATTAGCTGGCCTGGGAAACACGGAAAGAAGAGTGGGCTTCGAGGGAAACAACGAGTCCACTTGGGAGCTTTTAGGTCCTGCGTGAAAACATGCTGTTTCAAGTCTGGATCTGGAAGCGAGCATGTATGTGTGAAACCTAGAACTAAAGCGTTGATGTCACATTGCAAAGACAAAAAAACAAAACAGAAAAACAGATCCCAGACTGAGCAAAAGCACATCATCAGGTTGCCCAAGAGGCCCTGCCTCAGAGCTTCTGATTCAGGCCCGAGAGCCTGCAGCTGCAGCCAGATTCCAGGCGATATACTGCTCGTAGACAGCACCGCTCCCTGAAAGGTGCGGACCAAACGCAACGAGCAGGAAGGCAGTCCAGCACAGCAGGGGCACCCGAGGCAGGCGGTGGAAAGCCTCCTGGAAGGCAGGCGTGGGAAGGAAAAGGGGCTTCACGGCAGGGGTGAAGACGGGAAAGGGAGGGGGGCACTACACACTGCCGATCCGCAGAACAGACTGTGGTCTGAAAATAAACCCGACAAAGCAATCAGGAGGTCACTGGACAGCTTAGTGGAGCAGTGACAGGGTAAGAGGAAGGAGTGTAACAAAGTGAGAAAGTACAGGCGTGTTGGGAAAGTCTGTTAGAAAGAGGAAACAAGAGAACAGACGCTTGCAAAGGCAGAACACCCAGGAAAGGCGGCCTCGGGTGGAACACGTGGCACAAGTAGGCACACGGAGAAGATGGATCAAGTGAGTCCCACGCCTGGCATCCGGGCTCCAGGGGTCAGTCTGTCTCAGACAGCAGCATCAGCCCTGCTGAGGAGGCCAAAAGCGAAGCACAGAGGTGGAGGGGAAGGCAAGCGAGGTGCAAGAGGAGAGACCAGGCCCGCCACCTCCGGTTTCTCTGCAGCTTCGCCCTCAAGATGCCCTGAAGGGATGCTTCAGGGCGACGAAAAACATGTAGTAGCACACAGAAATCTGGACCCACACAAAGGAAAGAAGAGTGCTGGAAATGCAAATTTTCATGCGAAAATACAGAAGACACCATCTTCTGTAAAATAGTGTCTTACAGAATTAAGATTAAAATTTCCATTTTAATCTCCTTTTAAAAATAACTGTTTAAAAGACAATAACAATGTAAATATGGGGTTTATAGCAAAGCCAAAGGCATGATCAAAAGAACATGGAAGAAAGAGTAGTAATTCAACTCACATAAACCCTTAAACCCATATGTAAAATAGTATATTATTATTTGAAAGTGAACTGTGATAAAAATATATGATATAAACCCTACCAAGTATGGTCTGGGAGTCTGAGTAAAGCTTGGATCCAGAAATTCCAACAGCTAGCTAGAAGTTGCAGGAGAGGTTCCTCGAACGTGCACGCGTGACAAAGGTGTTAGGAAATCCAAGGGTCAACAAATCTGTTCCACCTGCTATTTATTGAATATTAACGGATGACACCTCACAAAACTAGAGAACTCCACTTTGGAGAATGCTAACAGTTCTGAGAGATACTGTAAGTATTAAACAATACTCTAATCACAGTATCACCACAGCTGTGCACTAATGAGCTATGTATTCATGTATCTAATATCACAGACAACTCTGTAGCTGTACATTGTGAGGGAAAAAAACCCTCATGTTTTGGGATTAAGCAGATCTGGGTTTAAGTCTCAGCTCATCACTTATCTGGATATGAACGCATGAACAAATTACTATCCTACTGTGAAGATTAAATGATACATAACTTGAAAATAAGAACTGTATGTTACATGCCACATTATGTATCTATCACACGATAGCAAATGATGAAGCCAGGGAGCTAGCTTGACAGTACAGCACCTGCCTGGCCGGCAGAAGGTCCTGAGTTTGATTTCCAGCACCAAAAACAAAACCAAAACAAAACTCTAGAAAGCAAATGATGAGGAAGATGACCCACAGGGGTCCTTTAAACAGTACACCCCAGTATACTGACAACGAAATATAGCTCTCAAAAGCTTCATCTTAGCTGCGCATGGTGGTGCATGCCTGTAATGGATGGGATGGAAAGACAGACTTCTTAAAACTGAGCTCTAGGACTACCGGTGCCTAAGAGTAAACAAAGACTTGATATCTAATTCTTACCATTAATAACTGGTGTGTAAACAACAATCCCAACCAAGTTGGGGTCAGATACGGTCGTGTCCAAAATAAGGCCCCCGATGCTGAAAAAAAAAAAGTTACATAATTTATGGAAAGGGAAAGCACTTGAAGTTGTTCAGTACATGCACACACCCCCACTTTGTAAACTAAAAGCTATACATGTTTTTAAAACAGAATCAAAAGAAAACTATTTAAAGTAAAAATCAATGTCAAGGTAAATGTTGGAAACAAAACATGACTTAGGTTACAGCTCCAAGGTCAGGACTCTGAACTATACCTTCTGTGAATAGCAGAAGCATGCGCTTTACATACATCAGGGTGTCTGGAAGATCCCCTAAGAAATCATTAGCTGTGCTTATTTCTAGGGAGTGAGACTGACAGGGAACTGAGGGTCACTTTATAGTCTGCTTATTAATTTTAAGCCGCTTAATCTATTAATCTTCTAATTTAAAAATTATAAAAAGTGATTTTTTTCATATTTTAAGTAATTAAGGCATGAAGTGGACATTGGCTTTGTGGGGTGGCTGTTGATCGTTTTCTGGGATCGGGTGTGGCTCTGTTGTGCGGCCTGGCCTAGAACTCCTTATGTAGCATGGGGTTACAGGCACGTACCACAATAGCTGGCAGAGGGATGATTTCTTTTTAAATTGTGTTAAAACTAGATAGAGTTAGGATGTGTTTTGTTATTGGTGAATTGAAGTAATCACTGCATCTGCTGCTGGGACGCACACCTGTAATCTTAGCGCTTGGGAGGTGGAAGCAACCTGGCTGCTTGGGGAGTCCCAGAGCATCTGGCCACAGAGCTGAGCCACAAAGCCAGCCTGAACTACACAGGGCAACTCTATCTCAAAAACCAAAACACTATAGAGTCCTTAGAAGTACTTAGGAATTTTTTTTCTTTTGCAGTACAGGGGATTGAACCCATGTCCTCAGGTATCTGAGATAAGCATTCTAGCACTTACCTGTACCCCAGCCTGAATTATTCAGTAATTTAAGCCTAATTTTGAAAATAATGTACTATTCCAAGACCAAACTACTTATGAGCCAAAGAACAAAATCTTCCTGCCAAAATGCACAGGTCATGTTATGGGTTTACAAACACTCATAAAAATACATTTTAACATTTTTTTAACCACATAATAAACCCCATTATAGAAAAAAATTATCAAATCAACTAAAAAGAAAATAAATACTAATTCTAGTTATATCAGTCAGGGCTCATATAGTTAGCATATTAAGATATGTCACATGCATACACCTGTATATACAGTACATACAGCTATATCTATATCCAGTGGTATCTTGATTCACAAATCATTTTTTATTTGCAATTTGGTTTTCAAACACAAGTACTTAGCAAATTTTGTTTTGCTTGCAAACTCCACATCAGGTAACAAACACAACCGTGGCCATCTTTCCCACAAATGCAAACACGGCCATCTTCTCTGAAATCACAGAGCAAATCAAGTTCACGAACCCCAGTACCACTGTATATAAAATCCATATATATGACTTCCAGATACTTTTATTACATATTTTACTTTATTATTTACTTGTTTCAAATGACGAAAACTGCCTATAATTATTCTGTACAACATGATGGTTTGAAACATGCATGCGTCATAGAAGAGCGACATCAAGCTAGTCACCACACGCATTACATGACGTAATTACCAGCAGCGTGAGGCGAAAACATGCAGAATGTACTCTCAGCGATTTGCGAGAATGTGATATATTCGTACCAATTTCAGCTGCATCATGTTGTGCAACAGACCTCTGGAGCTCACACCTATTTAATTACAATCGTGTATGCTTTCACCAACATCTCTCTAAACCCACGCCCACAAATCTTTTAATGTGTATCTTTAAAAGTAAAACTTGGATCAGGGTATGTAAGTCTTCTTTCTAGTAAATTTCATTTTTATCAAACCAACACGGCCATTATTGATAAAGTTCAGTATCCCTCCACATCTTTAGCTGTTTCCTCTGACAGCTACTTCTGCGACTCTAGGCGACACACTCGCACTGCCGTTTCTCCTCGGTCACTTAGCCCTGACCAGAGGACTCCGGCCTGGGGCGCCAGGGTCCCGCTGTGCTCCTGCCTCCACGCTGCAGGCCTCTCAGCCCTTCCTCCTGCCCGTGTGCTTATCTTACTTGGGCTGATTTTATGGTACCGCAGCTTAGCCACAGCGTATTCGATAGCCTCCCGTGGACCTTTCTCTTTGCCTCATATTTCTTGTCACCGCTGAGGTATCTATTGCTAATCCAGCCTCAAGTGTGTAATGCTAATGAGAGGCCTCCTTCTAGCAAACGTAGCCCACAGCCAATGCATCCACGGTTTGGCCTTTTCAGAGTCCCTCTTCCCTCGGGCACAGTGCTCCTGGCAGCTGGGCTGGCTTGTCCCCAGCCCTGGGCACAGCTGCCGCCCTGCCCTCCCTTGTCTCTCCTGCTAGTTCCTGGTCTGGGAACTCTCATAGGACTCCATTGCTGGAATCCTTCAAGAAAAAGCAATCTGTGTTACAGAAAAGAGCCACCTGCTGTACAGAATGGGATTCTTTACTCCCCTGTCATCCTCTGTCTTGATTGACTTCCTCCCTTTGACAGAATATACAGATTAGCTTTAAATGAAAGGCATGGGGAACTGCACTTGATGAGATCTTGCCTGCCTGAAAATGTTTCATCTTGTCTAGTACTATGACTGCATTTTATGTCCAAGATAATTTCATTCAGACTTTGAAGAAACCACTTTTGGTGCTGCTACCAGATGTCCTGCACACGTCACTGCCTGTTTTTCCTCGGGAGGCTTCTGTGGCTTCTGGAGTGCTCTCCCCCAGGTCCTTCAACCTGGGAACTACGGTTTCAGTCCTGGGGTACTGTCTTACATGGATTCTCTGATAACTTTCTCTGCTGCTCACAGGCCTCCTTCTTCGAGTTCTTTACCTTTATCGTCTGACTTTTCTACCTCTGCTATTCATTTGAACTTTCCAAAGCTGTTCTTCTTTTTCAAATCCTCATTGGACCACCCTGCTCTTACATTATGGGTGCTACAGTTTTCCTCATTTCTCTGAGGACACTGACTACAATAGTTTGCTGAGGTTTTTCAACCACACTCGTCCTCCCTCTGAGAGCCCTTTTTGCCCATCTTTCATACTGGAAACCAACCCCAAATGTCTGTAGAGCACTGGATGCCTACTCGGTGTACACAGGTGGACAGAGTTGGTTACCATTTGTCACCACACCAAAGAGCCACCAGGTGCGCTTGCCGTGCTCGAGCTGAAGGACCGAGTAATGTCAGCCTGGACAGTCTTTGCTTCTGCGCCACTTAGTTTCTGCAAAAGAACTGTCTGCCTGGGGGTATGAATCTCCTGCTAGGGCTCTATGTACACAGAAAGGGAAGTGGGGCCACGTTCTCACTGTCCACTGTACAGATTTCCAGTTCATCTTCGTATCGTTCAGATCCACATCCTCACCTACACAGATGTCCGTGTTAGCCTGTCCACAGGTACTTCTACGACGGCAGAAGGGGCACTCATGGGGTGCAGGTGGAGACTGGCTGCAGAAGCTGGGCACCCCCTTACTGAGGCTTATAGCCCATCTTCTCCATCCCAAGGCCCTTGATGGTCTGCCTCAAGGGCTCTGAGGTTCAGATCTGCTTGCCTCTGACAGCTGGTTAATCTCCCTTTTTTCCTGCTTGTGTACTGAGCAACCATCCACCTGATGCCTAGCTTTCTGTATTTTTTTCTCTCTCACATGCTGTCTTTTCTGTTCCTCTTCTGTCTTTATGATTTTGTAGTATTTTTATTTTTTAATAATCATTTTAGTAGTTTCAGGGAACACAAACACGTCTTAACTGACCATGTTGAACAAGAAATTCATACTTATTTCTAGGTTACCCTTGTCACCAAACGTACAATGAACACCTTATCCTGGCAAGACAAACGCTGCGGTGCTCTGTATTACAATTTATTTAGCCAACACCTGATAGCTAGATATTGACCTGTTCCATTTTAAAATTAAAAATCCAATACAACAAAGATTCTTACAACTATACCTTTTGCATACACATTTAATTAAATATAAAGTTTCTCAGTGTCCTAGATGGGGAACTAGTCAAATGGCATATATATCACCAACATCCTTTGATATTTACTTGAGCAATTTGCTATACAAATCAAGCCATGTTCTTATTAGGTTAACACTACACACATGCCACTGAATGTTGCTTATTTGTCTGGTAAGGCTTTGGTTGGAGAGAAATTTGAAACTGGTGGCCAATTCAAATTTCAGTACATCCACTAATTTTAGTAACTTCCCTTATTACCTGAGAGAATTATGAATTGGCAATATATAATGGTTAATTAAAAAAAAACCCAGGCAAGTTGCTCCACATGCACATTACCGACATGGCCCTAACACACGTGCACCCTGCTACTAACCTGCTTATGACCATAGCTGTTATGACAGGTTCCCAGCCTGAGTACAGCACTGTCCTTGTAGCTGGATGCTTGGCTGCTATGATAATCCAGATAGGAGTGAGAGCCAAGAAAAAGACTCCAACTAATGGAGAAATGTAGTAATAGGTCTCTAAAATTAAAAAAGGGGGGACAATATTTCAATCTGTTTTCCTCCAAGCAACAAATCTAAATTATCAACTGTAAAATTTTACTGGGTGATAAAACACTATCAAACATAATATCATGCCTTATATTCTTTATAAATTTCAAACAAATTAGCATGGTAAGTAGTTTTAAAATTAAATAATCTGGTTAAAAATACATTAATTCAACAGACATTTATTAAGAAATAGCTATGCGGCATACATGAGAACAGTAACAACAGAATAAGAACAAAGAGTACAGAGCTACCATTTAACAGCCTGCCAAGATTCTGCACTACTGCTCGGTGGTAAATGTCTTACCTGACCATAATGATTCATTCCCTCTCCATTCCTGTTATGCTTCTCTAGAGAGAGAGAGAAACACTCTCCCCATTGACTGTGGGCTTGGTCATTTGTCTTATTTATAGACATGATTTATGCCATCTCTAAACAAAATTTTAAATGTGCTCTCGCCAGCAGCCGTGTGTGTGTATCTGAACTGTGCAGACACACAGGCATGCCTGAGAGAAGGGTAAGCCATGAGATGAGCCCTCCTACAGGCGGGACAGGGATGGGGTAGAGGGACTCACAGGGCAGAATACTCCACAGGAAACTGTCAGCAGCATTTAAGAAGCGAACAAGCTACATTTGCAGGCTGCTCCACAATACTCAGGGAGGTGCAAGCTACAAAACTCCAAGTTTATAGAGGAACTCACTCCAGGTCTAACCCTGCAGAGAGGCCTCTCTGAACTCTGAGACAACTGAGTACAGACCTGGGAGACCCCACTGAGCAGGGCTCACCCTGGAATAATGTCTGCTTCCTGTCTGCCCCCATGTAACTGCAAAGCAGTTCCCATCAGCCCAAGCTAATAGACAAGTAGCTGCACACAAGGATAAAGCCCAACATTCTTAGAGAAAAAGCAACCCGATACCTGACTACACTATGCTTACCAGTGTCTAGCATCCAGCCAAACGCTGAGTTTAGAATATTTGGTCCAACTGAAAAAATTTATGACATTCTATTGTTTAG